TCTCCGTTCGAATGCGAGTATGCATACGCACCCACAAAACCCTTCTCACAATTCCGTCTGTAGCATGCTGTTCGTCTGGGAGGCTGGCTAAGCCACATGGCATTTAACACTCAGGAACCCATTTCCGGTGCATGACACTTTTGGTGTATACATCATAAAACCTGTTCTGCTGGTGGAAGCGTTCTTTTGGGCTGTTAAGAGAACAAGCGCAACAAAGCATAGGACTTGGGCTTGGGGCCTCTACTCCGAACACAGCTTCAATGGCAATGGCTGTGTGCGTTTGTGTGCGGGAAGGGAGCCGGGGGGGGGTGAGTATGCACATCCTCCCTGTTAACCGTGCTACCTTTGCAAGAAGGCCGAATATGCCGGAAGTGCCGGATATGACTGTCCCAAACCTAAACCCCACAACTTCTGCTGGTGCATAGCTGGCCAGCCTCGGTCTCTCCCAGCATCTCAAGAAGCTGCGCGGCAGACAGGAAAGCTTCGCCTGCAATCAAAGAGGAGTTTCCGGAGCCTCAGGGTTTAGGGGTTCTGGAATTGAGGGCTTGGCATTTAGAGTATGAGTTCGAGTTGCAAGTTCGGAGTTGAGTTCAGGATGTAAGAGCTCAGGACTTCTTAAGTGTTGAGCCTCGGGCTTCGGAACTTCGGGCTTTCGGGTTTTGCCTTCACCGTGAAGCTGCTTGGCTCTGTTTGGAGATCGCAAAACCACTGGCACCCGTAGCACCCTACCGTAGGGACCTGCTGCAACGTCATTGCCCTCTTGCTGGGCCGCCGCGGCGGCTCGCTGCGCCAAGCCCAAGGCCTTTCTTGCAGTCCACATGCGGTATGCAGTGCAGTCCAGGCACAGATGCAACGACACGAAGACACAGTTTCACTCAAAGTCAACTATGGGCTTTAAAGCAGTCTTCCAAGAAGTTCAGTGCACAACTTGACTTGGCTTTGACTCGACGAACGACCGTGCGTCTCTGCTCGACTTGCCTGCCTCCTGCAGCCGGGCACGGCAAGCAGCATGCTCGCAGCGCTCAGGGCAAAGTGCCCTCGGGCTTAGCTTAAGGCAAGGGGACAACGGAAACCCTCAGCAATGCCAACAGCCCACGCATCACAGGGGACAAAAAGCTCAGGCAAGGTACATCTGCTGCCCCAAAATGCACGCGGCAAGTCTGGACATAGTCGTGAGATTGCTCTCCAGGTCGTGCGCCTGGAGTCGCAAGAGCCCCTCAGACACGTCTCTGATCGGATTCCGTATGGCGAATTAGACATGACTTGCATAACCCCTCTTTCTGAGCTAAAGACCCTATACCAGCAGCCTCGCGCAGAAGGGCTTCAGCATCAGACAGAGCAGATCGGCTTTTGTCACAGTCTCCGGCAACATTGAAGTGCTCTGCCTGGGCGAGCGATGCAGTTGACATGCTAACGAATCTAGCCAGGCGGTAGGTATGTTTACCTGGCTGGATCAGAAGTCTTGCAGCATGTTGAGGCACGCATGTGAATGCCAATGCTGCCAGGCAGCACGAACCAGGAGCACAGCTGCATCGACGATCAGGTTCTGCAAGCTTCGTAGCTCCGGTGAAGTCTTCCTTGCGTCTGTTTCGCCAGCTTGGGATCGCACCGGGATGTTGCGACATGCCATCTCGGCATGTCGCGTCTGAAAAAAACCGTCGCAGACAGTAGTCAATCACGTCAGCCAGCTAGATTCTAGATATCATCGGTTGCCGGGTGGCCGGCAAAGCGGGCATGACTCGTTCACCCCATGCCGGCGCAGCTCAAGCAGGCAGGCTTTATGCCTTGGACTAGGCTTACGAGATCTTTGCAGAGAGCTGCCGAGTTTTTGGGAGTCTCATGTCCAAACAGAAACTGAGAGCCGGACAAGCGGTGCCCACAAGTCAGGCTTGACACGGCGGCACCGCAGCAAACGGACTCCAGGCAAATCGCACACTTCGCCATGGCTGGAGTCTGATGCTAGGGCCTCAAAAAAAGCCCAAGAAGGTAGGGATATCCCTATAGAGTGCCTATGCTTATGTCCTTGTTGGGGTCCCTAAGATGCCCTGCAGAAACGAACCTAGCGGACTCTAGCAGCACTCGACCCGAAGCTTTCCCCCGTCACTGAAGTCTGCGCTTGCTGGTCTCTGCTTTTGCCGAAGAGCCTGAACCAAGAAGAACACCCCTCCTAGCAAACTTTCATCCCTGGCGGATCGGGCAAACCAGAATGAATCAGCCAAGGTTTCGCCTTGTCGTCGTAGTGTAACAGCAGCAGCAGCAGCAGCAACAGCAGCAGCAGCCGTAGCAGTAGCATGAGGAGTCATGTAGCAGCAGCAACGGCAAGAACCGGTAGTAGCAGTAGCAGCATTGGTAGTAGGAACAGTAAGAGCAACAATGGAAGCAACAGTCGCCCTCACAGTAATGGTAACGACACTAATCATATCGGCAGTAGCAGCAATGACTCCTTTCGGTGCAACCTCCCTCAAACCCTGAAACCCTAAATCCTTAAACCCTAAACCCTAAAACCCTAAACCCTAAATCCCTCAACCCGAAACCCCAAGAGTTCTTTAGGCCCCTCGCCGACCATGGCCGTGAGCATCGCCGCGGCTTTCGTGCGCTCCTCGAGGTCTCCCAGTGGTGCCAAGACCTCCGGGATTAGGGTTTAGGGTTTAGGGTTTAAGGATTAGGGTTTAGGGTTTAGGGTTTAAGGATTAGGGTTCAGGGTTTAAGGATTAGGGTTTAGGGTTTCGGGTTTAAGGATTCGGGTTTGGGGATTAATACAAGGGCCCAAATTTGGGAGTTTCCGAAGATACCGGAACCCTAAAGGGAATCTTTAATGGATCTATAAGGGTTCTATAAAGGGTTTAGGGTTTAGGGTTAGGAGTTTCCGAAAAGAGGGGACCCTATACTGTAGTACCCTCAAATGTAGGATCCTTTTTGTAAGGACCCCAAAACAAGGTACGCCTGATTTTCGGAAACTCCCAAATAATTAGCAATACTATTTTGGGGGCTCGTTGCTCTAATGATGGCACAATATGCCCCAAAAACCCTGTTCTAAGTGTTGAGGCCCCTGTATCAGAATCTAGGGAGATCAAGCCTTCACAAGGTTCTGAAGTGGGCTCTGCAAGGCTTCCGACTGGGGGTTCAATATAGCAGCCTCAGAAAATCATACTCTATACCCCAGTGCAGACCCCGAAGTAGTAAGATTTGTGCTGTAACCACTTCCAAGCAAAGGCCCCCAGTTTCCTGATAACCGCATTTGGAGGTTGGACTTCGGTATGGGTTGGAGTTTCGGATAAACGCGGCTTCTAAGTCATAAGGATGACGAGCTTTGCAAGCAGCCGGAACATTTCCTGAGCCGTGCGGAATAGCAGCAAGAAGCCTAGACAACCTGGCTGGGCACGGGGCGTGCATATTCGGATGGGTCGAATGTGTACAGGGGCCTGAACCCTAAGGCGCAGGTATTGATGCCCACGCTCCATGGCACCTCGCCGGTCAACAGGCTCACCAGTCCGCCAGTGCCCACAGAGGCATGGACACCTTTAGACTAGGGAATGGAGGAATGGGGTACAATTATAACTACTATTACTACCATGCTTCCATTCCCTACTAACCAAAGGTAAGTGAGTTGAAGGACGAGCTCGAAAGCTTTGCCAGGCGCCAGGCAGGTGCCAAAGAAGGCATAAACGATTGGCGGAAGCATGCAGCCTCGCAACAGAGATCACAGCGAGGGCAACCAAAAGCCTGCCGAGCCGCCGAGAGTCTGTAAGGGCCATTGATCAAGTTCACCATGCACCTGAGAAGACCATAATATAGGGACCTTCATTACTATCACCTATACTATTTTGGGGGTTCCTGTTTGTAATTGTGGTATAACTCCCCCTCGCCCATGCCGCCTGATGAGGCTTGCAACAAAAGAGACCCATGAGTAAGGTAGTGATTAGGTGCCGTACTATATAAAGGACCCAAAAAGTGACCCTATCTTTTACAACCACCCATCTGGCATCTCAGGGAAGCGCAAGTTTGCGTGTGCCAGAGATTGGCCTCCGGTGATCCAAACACTCGAAACGGCTTGCAACATTGGCATTGAGGACTTAGATGTGAGCATCCATGACTCTGACGCGCATTCAGGCCTATGAGAATGCATCCCAGTGTGATCGAACCAGCAAAGTCCGGCTGCAAGTTCTCCAGAGGGTAGCGAGGAAGCCAATAGAGAATGGGGATGTTCTCCTCAAGAGCTTGCCGCCATGATCCTTAGCTGGTGCCCGCTGCAGCGTCCTTGAAACCTGCTCAGTCGGAGACGTAGTTCCCAATTCGTCTTAAACCCTTAAACCCCTAAACCCTAAACCCCTAAACCCTTAAACTCCTAAACCCCAAACCCCTAAACCCTAAACCCCCAAACCCCCAACCCCTAAATCATAAACTTGAGTCAAGAATCGCTCTCTTGTTGATTTCTGTCGTGACAGATCGGACTTCTCGCTGCGCAACAGATCGGTAGTCAGCGACATCGACATCTTGGTATGATATAGTATAATACAGCATAAATGTACTATAGTCCAATATAGTAAAATATAATATGATATAGTACAATATAGTAAAATATAGTATAATATAGTACTATATAGTATAATGAAGTACAATTAATATAGAATCAACCTGTCTAAGGAGTAGCAGAGCACGGATTCAGGGGTGTGGGTCCGCTCAGTGAAGCAGCTGCGGAGTTGTTCTGTTCTAGTTGTGCTGCTGGCATTTTGAGAACTGGGACAACTAACTACGTACTATCGACCGAGACATGTCGATCTTGTCCATCACACGCTTGCAGGGCTGCCCATGTCTGTGCCAACTGGCCTACAAGCCTACAAGCCAACACGGCTGCAAGCGAGCTTGGCTGGTGCTTCTACACGCGATTATTGGCGGAAGACTCTTCTTCGTCCTTGCCACGTCGAAATATCATGATGTCCACTGCATCAGCACTGCCTGCGATGAGAAACCTATGATCCAAAGTGAACTTCGACATGCGCCTGCCCAGCGAGCCATGCCCCTTCGACGGCATCGGCCAGGCTGTACCTGTTGCAGTCTGCATGTTGTCTTCACAACTGCGGTCTGTTGCCGGACGCTTTGTACACGATGTGAAGTCGGACGGTTTTCGCTTGGCCACGTGGGGCGCTTCCCTGTGCGGCCTGATGCCGTCGGCATCCAAGCTGTGCCTGAACCAGCTGTTGCACAGTCTGCAACGCCTTCTCGGATACAAAGGAATTCAGTTTCTCCTCGAAGACTCGGGGGGTGGGCCGAACACAGACGAACCCAGCAAGCTCAAGCCCTTGGAGCTATTGCGAAATGTCGCACCGGAAACTTTTAAGGTCCAGTCGGAGCTTGGTGGGGCCAGCAAGTAGACTCTGTCTCAAATCGGGCAGGCCAACAAGACGGCGCATCGCGCCGCTATCCTAAAGGCAAAGAAGACAATCCAAGGGCACGCATCTCCAGCTGCTTGCGCCAGCATCGCTGCCACCTGAGATTCAGCACATGCCGTACTGCGGCTATGGAACTGCGGTCCTTGCAGTCAGTTTCCTTTGGAGGCCATCCCGACCGTTCTAGAAACCCAAGCACGCCTGGTGATTCCTTGGTGCTGTCGGAGGAGAAGCAGACCTTGCAGAGGCGACTGTGGCAATGGAGAACACGAGGATCAGTGTAGTATACTATACTGTAATCTACTATACTATAATTAATATACTATTATGTACTATACGGTAATATACTATAGTGTACTATGGTTTCATGAAGTGTTAGGAGAAACGGCAAAAAGGGCAAGGCACCCCGTCCAGCACTCTTTGGATATGGGACATCTCCAGACCTGCAAGGCACAGAAGTAGTTTCTCTGTTGTCGGAGATTTAACTTCAGATAACAACTGGCTTCTGCGGAGCTACCCGAACTTACCTTTGGTAAGTAGGGAATGGAGGAATGGGGCACAATTATAACTAAAATTTCTACCATTCTTCCATTCCCTACTAACCCAAGGTAAGCGAAGTGCTCAAGGAAGTGAAGCTTCTGCGCGGTTAGTGCCGGCGGACGTTCACCGAACTCACGACTCTCTAGGACTCTGAACTTTGGAAGACCTCCTCCCCGACGTCCAAAACGCGACCGTCCAGCTTTCCAGGCACCTGCACCACCAAAGCTTTAGAAGCATACGCTGGACCGGGCTGGTTTAGGCTGATCTTTTGGGGCTTTGGTTCGTAGACCATATTGCAGATAAAGCCCCGTTTCACTGCGCCCCACCTTACAGGGCTGGAAAATCGGATGCTGACACATGCAACGTTGTGGCAACAGCGTGCCTTGGCTGACACGACCTCTTTCGCGGCCCATCCTGCTCAGGTTCATGCGCAGCTTCCAAAACTGTGGACAATGGGAAAGCACTAGTAATCATAATGACAATGTTAATTAGAATGATGCGAACAGTACTGCAAGAATAGGAATAGGAATAGTAATATTGATAGCAATAGTAATTGCGATCATGGAAATAGCAATCGTAACGGTGCCACTACCAGTGCTAGCAATAGCAATAGCAACAACAATACGAGCGGCACTAGCAATGGAAATAGCAATAGTACGCAACAGTGCTAATACTAGTACTAGCAACAATAGCAATGAACAGTGATAATAGGACCAGCAATGGAAACAGCAATAGTAGTACTAACAATGATACTACTAGCTCGTTCCAGCGGCCCCTAGCTCGGCTTCATCAACAGGCACAACATCGCAGGAGAAAGCCGCAAACTCCAATCGCCTGCCGCTCTTTTTGAAAGCTGTGGACGGAAAATGAGCCGGAAAACGACTGCTGTTGAGTCTTGGATGCTAAATGGGCACACACATGGGCATGCTACTGCGGCTGATTGGAACAGCCCTACCGATTAGAGCAAGTGCACCAACACCAGCTACATAATTGTGTGCACCGTGAGACCTTCACAAGCGTCAAGAGTTGGCAGCAAGGCATTCTTCACCAACTCGGGTCAAGCCAAGTGCCGCATGAAGCACCTGATCAGGCCGAGCGTTCGTTCACTGCAATAGTGCGTGCGCTTCGAAGAACGACCAAAGCTGCACAGGCCTCTGCACATTGCCACGGGTCATCAATTTCCCGCACTCAATAATTCTTCAAGTCTTGAGAGAGCGTTCTCTTTCGACTGCTTCACAAGTTGCTCAATTAGCTCACTAGGTGAGGAAAAGTGAACACGGCGAAGCAGGCAAACATCCGAGGCTAAGTCGAGAGCTTCTGCCTTGACTCGCTCAGGTGCTCCGTGCCGCGCTGAACTATGGGAGGTTATAGTTTACATCGGGCTATAGCCAGTGAGACAGGATGTACAGCGCAAGAAGGGCAGAAAACCATTCTGGAAGCTGGTAGCTTGAACTGACCATAGAGCCGGAGGGAGAACACGAGTTGCCATTCCAGCAGTAACCTTGCTGGCACATGCATGCCCCATTCACACAAGTGCTGTGGGCAATCCAGCAGGTTGTCGAGCACGATGTGCTTGTGTCACTATCACATCCGGAAGCTGCAGGTGACCGAAGAGTCTGCTGCTGTGTGAGGACCAGGAAAAGGTCCGGCTTGAATGACATCGTCTTGTTGAAGTTCTCCACTAGATCCGCTTCTGCCCTAGTGGTCGGTGGGCAGATTCCGGTGATCGGATCAGTGTCGATCCCGGCCCCACTGATGTTCTTGAAAAGGACTTTCAGCGGAGGCCTAAAATCTTTCGGGACAAAGCCTGTGGCTGCCAGGTCATCCCGGTTGAAGGACTGGGGCGTCGTGTAGCTGCATCCGGCGGGCGTGTTGCACGATCTTGCCGACGGGCACATGGAGTAGCCTCACCGAAAAAAGACAAGCGGCTCTCGGGGGGGACACTATGGAAAAGCTTGTGATTAACCCGCTTGACTGAGCTCTGGGCTATACAACTGATAGCAGTGCTTGCATTCCATGAAGGCACCATTGCGACTTCCGGGAGCTGTCACAATGCAATAGTCGGGGTTCCGGAAATCGTGCATTCGGCGCCGGCGGAAAACCTCGAAGCCATAGGCATCGCCATACATGCTATTGAACGCATACATTGCTCCAGCACCCACCACTGCACCACCAACAGCATACATCGCAACGTTCGGTCGTGACTGTGCTGGCACAGCATTGTACCCGGAATAGCCATAGGGAGTTTGATACGGCATCGTGCCTGCAGCATGTCTCTCTCCGCTCAAGCAAAAAAACGTTCTTAATGTTGAGAAACCCGTCAATTCAACCAAGATGCCCCCATAGTTGTTCATGAGCTGTGGTCGGCTGGCGTAGCCATATGGAACCGCAGGCGGTGAAGGCACGCCAGTGGTACCGAAACGGCGTCGAGGATTTGCTGTGTAGGTTTGACCGTTGATGCTGGTAGTACGGCGGCGGGTGTTGACAGGAGCTGGCACTGGAGGTGGAGGAGCTCGTCGTCGAACGTCGCGTCGCCGCGGTGAAACTGGAGCTCGGCGGCGTGGGGTGTAGGCTGAAGGCGCTGAGGGTGCTCGCCTCCTGGGAGACGTCGGCGGGGCCGGTGGAGAGCGCCTGCGCGGGCTCCAGCCGCCTCTGCTGCTGCTGCTACTACCCCAGCTGCTGCCACCTCTGCGGCGAGCGGACAATTGACGCCCTAAGGCACTGTCTGCGTCCACCCCTGGCGTCGAATCTTGAGCTTGAAGCCGGCGATTGGTTGCATCGCAAGTGTCAGCTGATTCGTTGTACGTGGCAGCGGGATCATCGCCTCAGGTGCTGCTGAATTTTTCCAGCGAGTACGTAACAGCTGCAGGATCAGGGGCGGCCAGCGCAGCTTGCACACAACAAGTACCAAGTGAAAGACCCATTTCACAACCAATAGTAAGCAAGCACTGCGGTTATCAACTGAAGCAATACATGACAACCAGCGCGAGCTTCGCTGAATCGCAAGCATTTGAAGCTGGGATTGCTTGAAGCGTTGCATGCACTGAACGCGAAACAATCACTCTATCTAACTTTCAATTACGGACCACCTGGCCTACTAGCAACGGTCCAAGTTGCATGTTTCGTAGCTGAAATAGTAGCCGATGCCCAGCCATGACTGCTTCGCGATTGGGCATGCCTCGTCCACATAACACCAGGCATCACAGCACCATTCGTGGTCTGCGGAGGTGTTCCAACCACCGTCTGCGTTGTGGTACCAAGTGGCCTTGCATGAGCTGCTATCCCAGTCATTGCAAGAGCTTCCGTAGTCCGCAGAAAAGGAATCCGGAAGAGATCCTCCCGGCAACTGTCCACGACACTCGCATGCTCTACTGTACTTGCAGCCGGATACAACGTCTGCATTCATGGTGCACGTCTCGGTGCTCCAAAAGTGCCCTGGCCAAAGCGTGGACGCTCGAGATGTGGGACAACTTTCGTCCACCCAACACCAGGACATGCAGCACCACATGTCGTGGTTCGCTCGGGGGTACGTAATCTCACAGATGTTCGCATCATGCGGGTTACACTGCTCACCATAGTTGGCATAGCTGGAATTGAGACCAGCGCGAGCCAGATTGGTCGAGTCCATGGTGATGCCAAGACAATTGCACGACGTGTCACCTTGGCAAAAGAAAAGAAAAACGCCTAGCACCCACAACTAAACGGTTCGTCATCTTAGACTTCTCGCTTTCGCTAAGCATGGGTCCTACCACTTTACCTTGCTAGTAGGCTTGTCGGTCCCGGCATGCTGCGACTTCGATCAACTTCTGTCACTGAGGCAATCACCATCGGGCACGACTGGCTGTGGCTTGTACGGGCATTGAACGACGAGAGCCGGATCGTCATCACAAACATTATCTGACCAGAATAGGATGCCCTCCATTCCTTCATTCAGCGACTGAATGGCTGAAGAACATTCCTTGTCAACGTAGCACCAGCTGGCACAGCACCAAGTATCGACTTGATCTGGGCGATAGTTAGTTGCGCAGTTTTGCATGTCCCAAGTGCCGCAGGTCGAGCCGTAGTTGTCAGCGAACTTGGATCGCATGTCTGTGCTGAAGAGGCCGGACGCGTCCTTGCACTTGCAGGGATCATTCTGCTCTGCGACTGCAGTCCACGTGCATGGTGATACTGGCGCGAAAGTGTTGCACGCGGCATAGCTGAAGAACTGGCCGGGAAGAGCCTGCGAGGAGTAGGCATCCGGGCAGTCGCTGGTAGCATAGCACCATGGTCGGCAGCACCAGGCGCCTTGGACAACCGCAAAGACATGCGGCGAGCATAGACTTGTTTAAGGAAATCGTACAATGTGCGGACCTACGGCTTCACATCGAACTAGCCGTATATAGGTCTCGGTTATGCCGAGGAGCCCAAGGACATGTTGCCCCAAAGTTCGCCACAGTTGGGATTGTCCCAGGCACCACACTGTGCACCGTAGTTCTGACCATAAGTTGCCTGCACTTCGGCCGGCAGGGTTGGCATGGTGCACTTGCAGCTGCTAGGCACCGTGTCGCTCAACTCCTGCAGCTGCACAGTGGTCTCCGGAACCACCTCTTGTCCATTGCTGTCCTCGATGCTGAAAGTGATGCTTACAGCCTGCTGACTCGCGCGGATGAAGCTGACGATGTGCGGAGCATCCACTTGCAGCGAACTTGTGTAATTGATGCCGAGGTTGTACTCGGGAAAAGCCGGTGCACTTGGGTTGCTGCTAACTGGCTTCGGACACACCACCTGTGCGATATCCACAAGGTGCCATGTCTCGGCAGCATTTGCCGTTGCCAGGCAGAGCAGAAAAAAGCTAGTGGACATCATCGTGGTGCAATCGTGCACAGGAGACGTGGTTCCAACACTAAACAAGGTTCTGGTTTGCGACGCGGTCCGTGAAGTTACCCCTACCTCATGCTTCAACAGGATAACTCATGCCATGCTGGTGAAAGGCCTCCAAGCCTTCAAAGGCCTATGTGCCAACAAGAACCATTTAGCAGTCCTGCCTTGCTTGCCAACAGAGTATACAAAACCTTGCGGCTTCCAGTGCAGCCCTTGAGCCAAAGCGCCAAGCGCCGATCACAACCATTCTGCAGCTTCACATCATTTGCTCAATCAGCAAAGTTAAACTAAGATTTGTTGTGAGTCTTGCCAGAAGAAATGTCTGGTGACTGTTTTCTGGAGCGGTAGATCGGCCCCAAATTTTTCACGAGGTCAACGTGTAGTAGAGCTGCGAAACTCAGGCCAGGCCTCCAGACTCCAGGATCCCATCAGGGAGGCCGAAAGCCAAACCCAAGTTGCAAGTCGTACGCAGGGAGACGATTGCAGCTCAGGGGTTTGGGCTTTGGTAGTGGATGCAGGAATGGCATTCTCTCATGCTCAGGCCCACGAAGCACTTGACCCGCGAGGCTGCATCAGACAACGATGCCTCACAATGACTGGAAGGAAGCCTTCTTATGGTCTAGGGTTTAGGGTTTGAGGCGTCAGTTCAACACCACCTGCTGCCTGCCTGCACTTGTTTAACAGTGGGAACTGAGCGCATTCAGATGGAACCATCACTGCGGCCTCCTGCTGGGGAAAGCCGCAGTGCCGGCGCAATTGCCCCTAGGCCTGGGCAGTCAGCATGGGCACATATGCTTGGACATGGCTCCTTGCGTCTTCTCAGTGCTATAGCGCATGTCAATCTGGAAGTTGCATAGCACACATTTTGAATCATGTACACATGTATCCAAATATCATATCATAACATGTCGTGTCGTATCATGTCATATCAGATCAGGTCATGCCATGGATCATACCATATCATATCGTCGCATCGCATGTGTGTGTGTATGTGCGTATGTCACTGTGTCTGTATGTAGGTACGTACGTGGGTAGGTATGTATGGAGTTATGTATGTTGTGCATGTCTGTGCACACACAAACATACCAGTGGAGGAATTGGAGCCCATGTCTGAGCCTCTGATATTGTACGGCAAAACTGCATGTCTGCAAGACAGCTCAGGACGGCACGGGCTGACAATACTGCCGAATGCCCATCTGCATTCTTCACCGTAGCACTTGCACCTGCCGAATGCGGCTTCCAGAGAATCTCACGACGGTCGCCATGAGTGTCGGCTGTGTTGTGGCGGGGAAGTCGAGGCTTGATTAAAGGGTGCAGCGGCAATGGCCTCCAAGTACCATGCCACACGATCGTTGGGCATGTGCCACACAGCACAAGACGCAGTTCCAGAAGGGAGGCCGCTTAGAGATTCTTGCAGCACTGGCAGAGCACCTGAAGACTTAGGACCTTCAGACAGCGAAAACGGGCGACCAGGAAAGCCTGTGTACATCCACCAGGGCTACACCTCTGCCCTGCCTCTGCAACAGTCCGACAACTTCTGGGGATCTTTGCCACCTTAAACCCTAAGCAGTAGTAACCCTAAACCCTCAGCCCTGAACACAAAAGGCTCTAAGATTGAAGGATCTCCGAGAGCCTGGGACTTCAGATCTCTTTCACGGTGGGACTGCCACTTCCCAGTGCCTCTTCGGAGCAGAATTTCTGCGACAGCCTCGCTGGCTTTGGCCGCAGCGACCTGCGGAGGATGACTGAGGTGCCAGATGATTTTGATGCAATCAAGCGCACACACACACACACGTACACATGTACGTACGGGTGCACAACATGAACTGAACAAGTAAATCGAGACGGGCATGAGATCCTTCCATGATATGTCGAGGATATCGGCAATCATACAGAGTCGACTGAGCGCCGCAGCATGTAGTGCTGTGTTGCCATGCTGATCTGCTCCATTTACATCTGCCCCGGCAGCCAGAAGGTCCTGCACAAAGGCTATATGCGGCTAGATGTCATCAGTGGGTCAAGACTGAGGGAGAGAGGAGACGCACGGAGGGTGGCGGAGGCAGGGAGGCGAGGGAGATAGACACTGACCAACGGCTCCATCCCTCTGCGAGAGTATGGCTCCAACGACTGCCAAGCAAAATGCTACGGAGCTGCCCTGCCTCCGATTGCATGCCGTGAAGGCTGGTCACAGTGGAGGTCTTGCTGTTGAGGAACTACGGGAAAATCCAAGTGCGACGAACTTGAGAATTTCTGCATTTTGCATTGTCTGACGACTGATGGGCCGTGCAGACTACACGAGGTCCTCCACCAACCCATCTTCTCCTGGAATTCACGCCCAAGCAATTCCCCAGTTCATGGTGCGGTGAGCTTCAATACACCGTAAACTTCGCCACTTGCAAGTAGGGGCTGATTCGAAGACTTGCCGATGTCAATGTGTGTTGGCATGCCTGCCCGGACTGTAGCAATGAGCAGCGTCTCACTGGAGCACCCAGGGCCTGCAGTCAAAACAGCACCAAACCCGACATGATGGGGAACTCAAACTTTCTGCTCGAATGCGTGACAGACACAAAGTGGAAACGATTCGAAGAAACAAGAGCAGCAGTTTGAGGATATGTAGCGCAAAGTGTGTGATAGCAAACAGGGGAGGGGTAATTAGCTGCCCCCGGCTATTGGCATTTGCCAGAAGCACATCCTCTCCGCTTGAATGAACACAACCGTAATTTTTGCGGCTGCAACCTGACTGTCCCAGCCCGACCAACCGGATCGTCAGCTGCTTGGGACGTAGCGAGGGTAGCACGAAGTAATTACGAGCTCCGAGCCCGGTACTGCTGTCCGCCAAGTTGGCATCCAGGCCACTCTCCAACAGCAGCTGCACCTCAACACATCGCTTGCGCGATTTGAGCCCAGGAATGTGATGGAATGAGGATCTCAGCCCAGAGCTGTATTTCTATTCTCCGGTCGTTGAAGCCGTAGGCGTGCAAAGAGTGCATCGGCAATGCGCGAGTCGCTCGCAGAAGCCCCTGCCTTTAGAAGCACTTCCAGGGCGGGGCAGGGTTGATCAAGTCGGAGGACAGCTGCCAACGGCAGCTCTCCGGAAGAGTCTGGCTCATCGGCCTCATGATTCTGTATACATTCGCATGTTTATGAGTATGTACATGTACATGGATGTACCCATGCATCACGGAGCCTCATCACGTAGTAACGTAAGAATGTGGCTTTCAGCCCTCATTTGCCCTCAGGTTCGCGCGGCTAAGCCTTGTCGGAGCTCCCGCAGCAACAGCTCGCGTGCAGCGGAGGCGGAAAGGCCCTCGAGGCGTCTTGTCACAGATCCCCGAGGCTGGCTGGCACTGCAGCCCATCCCATGTCCTCGGGCACTGACAATCGACTTGACACTCGATCTTCGCGTGCATCACTTTGCAGATTCATGATATTCCGGGTAGTTCTCTTGTGGCACGCGAGGACGGGATTCAAACTTTATGCATCGCAAGCATGCCGTGAACGTATCTATGCGACGTGCGTACCTGCAAAATTAATGTACACATGTCTGGTACGTTATGTTTATGCACACCCGAGATACGGAGAGAGACAGAGTGTGTGTGCGTGTGTGCGCCTGTGTCACTTGCAGGGTTGCTTGCTTACCTGCTCGTGTGTGACTGTGAAGTTTCGTCTATCTACATGCATGTCATGCATGGTGTGGCCAGCGCTAAAACAAAAACGACTATGCTCTGTTGGGTTATGTGCCTGGTGTACGGACATGTGATGGTATTGTATCTGCTTCTGCAGTACTACACATATAGCTGAATCGCACACGTGCGGGCAAGCACTTTGGTAACACGACTTGTCTCCTACGCCATGTTATGCATAGTGCGCATTGATTCGAGTTCAGGCCCTTGCATTCTACAGTATAGTGCAGCTGTTGGTTTCGCATGCTACATGCTATTGGCGCTATGTTATGCAACATATACTGTTCAATGCAGAACAAAGGCCAAACCATGGTGCTTGTGGAAGTTACTGCGTGAACAGTACATGTTGCTGATTGTGTGCTTTGCGAAGCAACAGCAAACTAAGTCGTTCAGCGTACTCATGCACACCTGCTTAAGTGTACGCAGATCTGTACAAACATACATACATGATTACATGCATACATACCTCCGTACCTCCATACATGCATGCATACATGCATGTGTATATACATATACATATACATGGGCAGTTGCCAAAATTATGGCCCCCTTTTTCGGTACCCTAAATATTAGGTGCCGTGTTATAATAAGGACCCTAAAATGGTCAATAATTTTGACAACCACCCATATATGTAATATATGTATACTGTATATTGCTTATGTGCCTACATAATTACATGTTCTGCCACGTTGGTACACACAGACATACGCACAAATATCATGACATACACATGTACACTTGCATGGATATCTGATATGTTACATGTGTGTATATACATGTGTATATATATATATATATATGTATGCATGCAAGATCGTCACATGATCCGATGCATAGTCGGTACTACTTCACTGGGAACGGGACAGACAGGGTGTGCCATCGCGCTTCCGGGCTTGCGATGGTGTCTCTGGTGTCTTCCCGTTGAAAGCTTCCGTCCACTTGGGTTTAGGGATGCAGGAGTCAATTGCCACACAAGTGCAGCAGGAGTCCATCATTGCCATGAGGCTCACACTTGCTCATGGGACGCCTTCGAGATAACTCTCTGCTGCTGTGTGTGTGTGTGTGTGTGTGTGTGCTGTGCGTTGTCTTCTTGCAGGGAGTAAGCCACGGCAAAAAACAACAGGTGCAAGCTACTCAGCAAGCAATCGCTCTCTAGAAGGCTTCATTCAGCTTCTGGGGTTCGCTGAGGGCTTGCAAAAGCTTTTGACGGCTGGACGTCTGAGGCCCTCCATTTTCAACACGCATCCTGAAAGAGCTTTTGAAGGCTGCAGTCTTGAAGGAGTCAAGAGGGGAAGGTCTCGGCATAGTCGAACGGGCGCCGTTCCACTGCTTGCAAGCTGCCTGCTGAATTCAATACTTCCACGGACGGAGTTGATACAGTTTCCTGGGAATCCGACCGTCCAGCCCAGCCGCATGCATCTTCATAGCCGCAGCTGCAAGCTCCTCTGAACGATGCATCGTGATTTTTTATCTCCCTCAGACCTTCTATTTGGTCTCCTCGCGCAGCGTCGGCGCTTCGTCATCCAGAGATGGTGCCTGAGCCAGGAAGCAGCGACGCTCTCAACTACTACGGCAAGGCCGGATACGAACCATGCACGGAAAACCTACTCTCGAACTCGAACTATAGACCTTCTATTTATGTCACCATGACACAACGACAGAACAAACAAACCCGCCAATCTTTCAGCAGCCTTTTGGCCCCACCGGCTTCACGCTAACGCCGCTTCGTGGTAGCTCTCAGGTCCGTTCAACATGAAGTTGAAACTGAGAATGCAACATCGCGATGCCAGGAAAAGTACCACCGACCGGCAGACGTATTCCTGCATGCAAACTCCGATGTGTTTGCTGCGACGGGGGCGCTTCCTGGCCTGATTGGAGGTGCTGAAGCATAAGCTGCGTATAGCTCTGGTTCCGAAGCAACGCGGATGACGTGTTCCACGGCCGCCTTTGCTGCAAACTATTCAGACTACTCGCAGCACCTCCCTCGCACGCAGCATGTGGCCTCGAAAGATTCGAAAGAGTTCACCCAGATCATGGCATCGGTATTGAACAGTTCAGAGACCTTCATTGTGCAAGGATCGAAAGAGTTCGACTCGCACCGTTTTCTGAAGTCGACGCAAGGCCGCTTGAGGGGTTTGCAAAGTCGGATCCCCAGTAAATCGGGACGGCCTTCCGACAAGCTGGCCACATCCCACTTGCAAACAATTCCGATCAGAGACTGGGGATTGGACTCCGGCAACGAAGGCGTTCACAATTTTCTCGGTCACGTACCTCGATCCAAGACCAGGTAAAGCTCGTGGCCGTACGGTGCTGTGTGTTTAGTCTGCTCTGCTATCATCTGCGCCTATGCGTACCATGGTAGACCATGCACCTCCAAAGAAGGAAATGCGGACCCTGGCCTTGTTTGAATCTTGTTCTCGAAGACCAGCGCGAAACGAAATCGTCGGAAAAGATCTGCAGCATCCTTTTGGGGTTGGGTGTCGAAAGCTGGGACAGGGCTTCACCCAAACCCTGAAGCTACTCCCCACAGGTGTCGGACGCACAGCTGCAAGTCTGTTGCAGACTGACTGGACAGGCGGCGTCCATGTAGGTCTCAGCGTATCTTTGTGACCTCTGCATGCAGGCACAAAGCACCCCTCGCCACATGCAACACGCTTCTTTCATCCTTGCTTTTGCACTGGACCGTGATGCTGAGCACTGGCACGTTCGATCTATTTCGCCGGCATCGCCACACCGAGATAGGGTCTGCCACGACACGAGCACTCCATCAAGACAAAGATAGACAAAGAGCCGGCTGCCGTTGGGGGGCTCCCGGCCTCCACTGGGCCCAGGCCAGCTTCGCGCCCTCTCGCGTCCAGCAGTCTGAAGAAACGCTCTCCT